GTGACCTTGCGATGCACTTGTGCTGTCTCTTTTTGTAGGTACCTGCTCTGTCTGGGGAAATCAGTTCTTCTCTGAGCTGATTTATTTAAGTTGCTCCCTGAGCTCCTGGCTGGAGCTCAGGTTTCAAGGCAGAAGTCTTGGTCTCAGCTGTACCCCAATGCAGGCTGCACCTCTGCCACAGCCACTGGTGAGGTGCAGAGGCTGCAGGGTGGCTTCGCCCGGGCTTTGCATTCCAGATGTAGCAAACTCGCCACCTTTCACCTTTATAACCTCCTTTTCCGCTTCTTCCTTAGGGATGACTGAAAGGTGAGAGGCCAGGATTGCTGTTAAATGAGGAGCCTCCCCAGAGGTCTGGGTTATGCTGTGGCTCTGACATCCATCCCATCAAAGGGCCTGCAGTGCCTTGGCCAGTCAGGTTGGCAGGTTGGGGCTGTCTCCTGAGAGCAGGACAAACAGTGGCTAGCTCCATGCAGCAGCAGGCTGGAGCAGCCTTAGTGCACAGCAGAGGAGAACAGGAGGGAAAAGAGCCAGGGACTGGGGGTGGGGAGGCTTCAACTGCAGTGGGGATCTGCCACGTGAAAAATAAACTGTCAAAATAAATAAACAGTGTATTTGAAAAGAGAAAACAGAGTTTAATTTGGAGATTTGAGAAGGGATTTGTGCAGCTGTACTTGTGGAAGCTGTTTGTGCCCCTGAGGCTGGAAGGCAGTGCCAGGACTGGAGAGCCCAGCCTGCTCCTGAGAGCTGTTGGTGGAAGGACCTTCTTCTTCTCCAAAGCATTTTCCTCCAGCCAGCCCCCATTGCTGGGATGTTTGAAAAATCCGTTGTCATCTGCTAATATTTATTTTATTAAATCTGGTGATGATCCAGTTCTCATGTGTGTTTACCAGGCCTGTGCCTCACACTGTGCCTTTCTCTGCTCTCAGATGCTATTGTGCCTCTGTTGCCAGCCATCACAGATGAAAACAAGGCACGGGCAGATTGGAAACACACTCAAGGCTATTTAGAAGAAAGGAAATAAAATCAGTGTCCACGGCTGCATAGATTGAATTGCTCACAGCATTTTAACAGATGAGATGCTTTAAAGTTTCCCTGCAGGCCTTGTTATGTGGGTGAGTGTGGTATGGTGGCTGCAGGCACAGGCTCAGCTCAGCACTGGCTGGAGCCAGTGGCAGCCAAATGGCAGTGCAAGGGGACATGAGGATGTGCCCGAAGTCAGCAGCTGTGCCCTTTGCTGGGCACGGGTTTGGCCCCTCAGTGTGAGTCACAGACCTTCGGCCAGGCAGGAGGGAAAGCTACTTAGTTTTAATACTGCATTTGAGGATGTCATGCACAGGCAATGCCTTTTTAAAGGCAGCACTTCCTCCTGGCAACATTAGAGTGTCTCAGAATTGACAGTGGTTGAAATGACTGGAGAGGGTTCTGTGTCACCTGAGTTCACGTGTGAGTGCTGGCTCAGTTCTGGGCTCAGCATCCTCCTGAGCATGATAGACAGGTTTTGGACAGAGTGTGATGAAGGTGCAAACCCCTTACCCCTTTCCCCGGAGGGCAAGGTGTGGGACCAGCGTGCACTACTCCAGGGTTCCTGTGCCAGATGTGCCAGGGTGCATGGCAGCTGCCATCACTTTGTCCTGATCTGGCCTGGGGTGGGAAGTTGCAGGCAAGGGGACAGTTGTGCCCTGTACTGGCTGTTGCTGAGACAGAAACTTCCTTTGTGGGTCAGAAGTGGTTGGCTCCTCTCTTACCTGTGCTTGCTCTTGGCTTTCTGGATGTGTTGTGAAATGTGGCTGCTTGGTGAAATTTAACTAATGACAAACACATGCTTGCATTGCAAAATGATCATTTCTACTCCCCAGAAACATTTGCACATGGCAGGAGCTCAATAAACTCTCCATTTCCTTACAGAAGCCTTCTCAAACAACAGTAAAGCTCTTCCTACAGCTGTAGGAGAGATACCGAGGTTGTTTTTTCCCGCCGCGAAAGCCGCCAAGCTCCTTTGTGAGAGCCCTGACCTTGGCCTGTGCCGGGCCCGGCATCGCCGCCCGCTGTCACCGGCCCAGTTGTGTCTGTGCTGGCCACTATCGCCCTGCCCGGGCGGGCTGGCATCGCCATGCATCGGACCACTGCAGAGTCCCCCACAACACTCTCGGGGCTTGCTTTGGTTCCACGTCAGCACTCCTGCGGCTCTGGGGGGTGGGTTGGGTGCAGCCAGCAGGGACCCACAGGGTACATATTTCCACCTGGAGGAAAGGTGGCAAGCCAGCTGCTGAGCCACCCTCCTGTCCCTCGAGTGCCCTATGCGGGAGCAAGGGGCTGGCACCCTGGAGCAGGTGGCACCTGAGGCTCTGCCCAGAGTGCTGCCGGCCCCTGAAACCTCCCCAGGCACCTGTTTGGCTCATTGCAGTGTTATTTATTACTTGCACATTCTGAGAACGCCCTGGAAATGTCTCTTGGAAACTGGAAACTGGATCATTAAGGCAACCATTAGCACAGCTCACTCTGAGTTGCCCACATTTTAAATTATGTTCTTCTTGCAATTCTCTCTCTAAAAATAAAAAAGAAAAGGCAAATTGGCATCATTTTAAAATCGAGGGCGTCCCTGGGCAGGTCGTTCAGCTCTGGGCAGTGGCTGCCAGTGGGGAAGGTGTGGGAGGCAGCTGGGAATCGTGTCAGTGCTGCAGGGCCCGCGGCCGAGCCGCTCCCCGCCTGCCGGAACACCATCTCCTGCCCCGATGGGACTGCCCACACCCCACGGGCAGGAGCCTTACCCACAGGAGCCTGTCCCATGGCCCAGAACCACCTTCCATGTCTGCCAGCACCCTCCAGGCTCCATCCCTTGGCAGCAATGGGGCGAGGGTGACTGAGCACAGAGGGAGTGTGGGGAGCCCTGCCCAGCCCCAACCCTGGCACGGGCACACGCGAGGGGCACGCTCCATACACACCTGCTGGAAGGTGTATCTGTACTTGCACAACTCTTCCTGTGCAGAAACAGCTCTTTAAAACCTGTTTCAGAAGCCACTCCATTTTGAACCTGCTTTCAGTTTTAGATAATTAATCCTCAAAAACCCCAGGGTGTTCTGGGGGGTCCCGTGTCTGTTGTCAGGACAGCTGCTGTGAGAAGCTCTGCTGCTTGTGGCACACATGGTGCTGAGCACGGGGAAGAGAGCATGGAAGCCTTATGGAAACAGGGAAATATGCATTGTCAGATTTCCAACTGCACAGGGGGGAAAAGAGAGGGGTCTTTAGCAGAAAGGTCTGGTTCTGTGGGAATCTAAAACATGCTGAGGAAATAAGACATTTTTAGCCAAGCTTTTTTATGTGCTGGTGGTATTCCTCAGTAGGGTCTGCTCCCCAGCAGCCCCTCACACTGAGTGCCAGGGCTCTGTGGCACAGGGTGGCGGTGTGGGAGGATGCGGGGGTGCCCTGGGACAGGGTGGTGGGATCATGCCAGGAGGATGGGTGGTATGCCAGGGAAGCTGAGACAGGGAGATGTTGCTTGCATCAGGACTAGACTGTGGCAGTCACAGTGCATCCAATTGTGTCTTCATTTAATCAGTAATTCAGGAAAAGTCTTGGAAATGGAGATGGTTGGGGAATGGTGGTTGAGCAGCATCTACAGACAAGTTTCTGATTGCTGCTGGCAAAGACATGAGAAATCACTCAAAAGGTTTCTGCCCTAAGCACTGCAGGTGAAATTGCTGCTCCAGTTACTGACCTGCAACTGAGGTGGGGTCTGCACAGCTCCCAGGGAGGGAAGGGAGGGAGCAGCACTGCAGGGGGACAGACAGGCAGCGAGGTCAGAGCAAGGTGACCCTGCAGACTGAGATCACCAGTGGCTGTCTCCTGTTGTGCTTTAATCCCAAGGTGTGAGGGGCTTGGAGATGAGCCATCCAGGGCTTGGAAAAGAGCTGTCCTTTGGCAAAGAGCCCTGCCCACTGTGACAGGCACACCGCACTGGTCCTCTGGAGATAGCCTGGTCTTGGGTTGGAGTTGAGCATCCCAGCTCATATAAAAACCACTTAAAACCTCTCTCTCCTCAGTTTAATTTATGTCTTTTAGGAAGCAGAACAGGAGGGGATGGATAATCTGGACTAATAAAGCAGCTCTTGTTATCAGAATTAGAATATCTAAGGAAAAAATCTGTTTTCAGTGGGTTTGGGGTTTACTGTGGGCCCAAGTGGGGCTTTTCTGGGTATAAAGGTTTTTTCCAAGAAGTCCCATCTTTGTTACATTCACTGTTGATGCAATCTGATTTCTCAGAACCCACCTGAAAGCAACAAACAGTGCCAGAAACCAAAAGGGATCTAATTTTTACTCAAAAGTTGCAGTGACCTGCAGACTGTTAGAAGCTAATTGCCTCACCCAGTGGTTGGAGAAAAAACAAGTTTTAGCAATGTGCTCCTGCTCCCCAGACTGCCTGGGCATGCTGGCTCCTGATTTGGATAAGCCCCTCCTGCTGCCATGTCCTCTGGAAAAGCAGCTTCTCCATGGATTTGATCAAAGAGATCAGATCAGGGTGGGGAGGGGGTCAGCAGGAGGGTGCCAGCCGAGAGGGGAGGATGTGGGCGTGTTTGGGGAGGGGGGTGGGCTCTCGGGACGTCTCAGCTGGGTGGTTCACGTGGCATTAGGCAGTTGGCAGCACTGCAATCTGCCTTGTTTGGTGTACGAGCTTCCTTACTGAAGCCAGAATTCCATGGGCACTGCAACAGCCCGTCTCAGTCGCCTTCTCTCTCTAGGCTGTGCTGTCACTTTGTCACACACTGTCACACACTGCACCCGGGGCAGTGTCAGGAGGGGCACCTGGCACGGTCTCTCCATGGTCAGAGCCAAGTTTGGCTCAGTCCTTGCTCACCTGCTTGCTGCTCAGTGCTTGGCTTGTTCATCCCCTCAGTTTTGGGTTTGCCATGAGGGTTCTCCCAGGCCCCATTGCGATGCTCCCTGTAGCTTGTCTTGACCACGCTTGCTGACCCTTCCCTTGTTCTCTCTGTTTTATGCTGCAGGTTGGAGACCGGCCGTGACCATGTCCTGCCTATTGACTATTACTTCCCACCTCAGAAGACCTGCCTGATCTGTGGAGATGAAGCGTCCGGGTGCCATTACGGAGCCCTCACGTGTGGGAGCTGCAAAGTCTTCTTCAAACGGGCGGCTGAAGGTAGTGGGGCAGAGAGGAGGAAGGTCACTGCCACAGCGTGTGGTGGGGTTCTAAGACCTCTTAAACCAGGAAAGGAGAAAAATCCAGGATAAATTGATTTCTTTGTCCTGCGTTTGTCATTCCACATTACAGATTGCCCTCAAAAAGTATCCAAACCAGTTTGCCAAAACACTATTCTTTTCAATGGCATTGAGCAACTTAGTCTAGTGGAAGGTGTCGCTTCTCATGGCAGGGTCGTGGAACAAGATGGTCTTTAATGTCCCTTCCAACCCAAACCCTTCTGTGATTCCATGATTATCTGAAATGACCTAGTGAGTCCCCAGAGCAGTCAGTTCCTGCTTCTCCTCTTGACTCTCCGGAGTTCTTTAAGCTCCCATCAGCCCACCTGCGATCTCAAACCCACAGCTCCAAATTTGGGGAAGGCTTTTCCTCTCTTGCATCCCTTTCAGAGGGTCACTTTTATCAATGCCTGCAAAACAGCACAACTGTCTGTCCTTGGAGCTGTGCTCTGACCTCGGGGTCCGTGATCCTTAACCCAGCCCCTGAGAGAGCAACTCCTCCTTCATGTCCAGCTCTGTAGTTCCAGGCTCTCCAGCACTATGCATGAGCCCAAATGTTTCCTCTCAACAGCAAGGTCTTTGCACCATCTCTCCTCGGGAAAAAGCGTGCAGAAGGACCAAGCCCAGCTGTTTCCTTGGGCTGTGGCTCAGCAATGTCTGGTTTCTGCTTGCAGTTCAGAGTTGTGGTTCCTTGGCAGCAGTGAGAGTCTCTGTTGTGGAAGATTAACTGTCCAGCAATGCAACGTGCCTGTAATCACTCATTGAGCTTGCTTTCAGGAGTGAGGAACCAGCACAAGCACCACTTCCTTGGTGCTAACACAATTTCCATGGTGCATGCTGTTGGCAGCCAGTGTCACCAGCCGTGGTGTCCCTGGGAGAGGGAGGCCCCGTGGTCCTCGGCTGGCAGCAGTGATGGGGACAGAGCTTCTGTCTCACTGGCACCTCCCCGTGTGCCCACCCCCTCCCCTCTGAGCAGAGGTCCCACTCTGGGGGTCCTCACCTGCTGTTGTCAGAGTGATGTTTCCAGATCAATTATCATTATCCTGCCTGGGTTTGGAGTGTGCCAGGAGCCAACTTGCCAGTGCTGGTTTAGGGAAGAATGGGAGCTGTGCCACAGGGGACATCAGTGTCCTGTTGCCAGAAAGGGCGGTCAAATAATAGTTAATAAATTTGGCATATTTCTCCCAAGTAAATCATTTGCAGATCTGTCTCTGCTGCACATCAGTCTGTGTCAGGCCAAGTGGGTTGGCTTATGCAGCCAGAGTAAATAACAGATGCTTGTTTAAGTCAGCAAGTTGTTGTTGATTTATAGTAAGTGGAGTCTTGGCTCTCAGTCAGACAAACTGTCTGTGGCTTGGTGCTGGAGCTGCAGTCCCCTGGTGCCAGGTGGGCTCTGTCCTGTGGGTGACAGGGGATGGAGGTGCCCACAGGGCAGAGGGGCAGCCTGGGCTGCTCACACTGCTCCACAGGCATGTGCTGTGGGGTTGTTCCCTTTCCTGATTGTGTTATATCATTAATTTAAATGGTATTTATGCCTCTTCCTGGTTCTTCAATCTTGCAGTTATGGCAGAGGGTTAAAAGTGTTTGGCCGTGATGGAATCAGGTAACAGCTCTTTGGCCTGAAGCCACGTGTGTGTGCAGGGAGGGGCACGTACATGGATAGTCTTTTTTGGGGGGGGAGAGACAATAAATCAGGCTCAATTATAGGTACCAAATGCAGGGCAGGGGCAGGCTTTTGTCCTAACTCCTGCCTGATGACTGTCCAGCCAGATCGTTCCTTCTCAAAGCTGAGGAGCAGTATTCAAAGCTGATATTTCAGTGCATTCTCATGGTTTAAAGTCCATAAAATGCATCTCTGGAAACCTTGGGTCACCCTTGGAGGCTTTACAACAGCAGATCAGAACATTTCCCCATGAGAAAAGAAATCTGTTACTTTCCTGGTGTGGGACCTGTTACTTTCCTGGTGCTGGTGTCAAACTGCAGCTGCTGATGGAGGGAGCAGCACAAACAGCACCTTGGAGGGGAGGGAAATAGCTGGCCACATTGTTTCTCTTTTATTATATTCTCCTAACATAATACTGAACTTATCTGGCAGGGATTCGGGCATATTTAATCACAGTTTGTCCAGAAGGATCCTGGGGGACACAGTATTGAAAGTTTTACTGAAATCCAAAAAGATCCCATCAGCTGGCTTCCCTTGATCAGCCAGGCGGGTCACCTTGTCATAGAAGGAAATCAGGTCTGATAAGCAGGACTTTCCTCTCATGAAGCTGTGGTGGCTGTGACCAATTACTGTGTTGTCTTTCAGGTGTTTTTCAACACCTCCTGGAATAATCTCCATAACTTTACCAGGCACTGAAGTGAGACTGACAGGCCTGGAGTTTCCAGGGTCCTCCTTCTTGCCCTCCTTGAAAACTGGGACACCTTTTACCAGCTTCCAGTCAGCTGGGACCTCCCTGGATTCCCAAGACCACTCAAAAATCTTTGAGAGAGGTTTTGTGATGACATCAGCAGCTCTTTGAGGATTCTGTGATGAATCCCATCAGGCCCCAGAGATTTGTAGGCATCCAGCTGGAGCAGCAGATCCTGCACAATTTCAGGCTCGACTGGGAGTTGATCATTCTCGCAGTCATGGTCCTGCAGCTCAGGGCACTGAGACCCCCTTGGTCCATCATCCATGTTGAAGACAAAGGCAAAGAAAGCATTAAACACATCTGCCTTGTCTCTGTCCCTGTGTGGGAGGTGACCATCCTCATCCTGGAACGGTGATGATATTGCCTATTGCCATTAATATATTTGAAAAAATTCTTTTTATTGTCCCCCACATTTCTGGCAGCTTCAAATCCAGTTGAGCTTTGGCCACACAGATTTTCTCCCTATAGTGGCAAGCTCTATATTCTGTATTCTATATTCTGACTCTGTATTCTTTCCATGTCACCCAACCTTGCTTCCCCTGGGCACACAACTTCCTTTTTTGCCTTATCTCTGAGAGAAGATCCCTGTTCAGCCAAGCCAGCCTTCTGCCTCACGTGCTTGACTTCCAACATTTGGGAATTGCTGCTCCTGTGCCCTGAGGTGGTGATGTTTAAAACGTGGCTGGCAGTGATGGACCCCAGCACCTGCAAAAACATTTTCCCAGGGAACCTTCCTTACTAATTCCCTGAGAAACCTGAATTCTGCCCTCCTCATGTCCAGAGTGTAGGTTTTGCTGGAACTTTTCTTTCTGTCAACAGAGATTTTAAACTTGATCACTTCATGCTCACTGTGGCCAAGACGGCCCCAACTTCCACTTCTCTCAGGAGATCCTGTCTGTTGACTGGCAGCAGATCCAGGAGGGCATTTCTCTGAGTCAGCTCCCTTAGGAGCTGTTCCATAAAGTTGTCATCCAGGTTTTTTAGGAATCTTCTGGACCCGGTTGTACCACTGTGAGATGCTTCCAGTTAATTTATGGCAAGTTGAAGTCCCCCTTAGGACAAGAGCAGTTGATTTGGAAGTGTCCCTTAGTTCCTCAAAGATAGACTTGGGGGTTTTTCACAAGCTCAGGTTCAACTGATTCATCCAAAAAGATGCTGGAAGAGGTAACAGAAAAGGCAGGGTTGTTCTCCTGATCTCATTCTGCCAGCTCTCTTGATTCATGGACTCTCCCAAGATGTCCAGGCTGTGTCTAGGACAGCACTGAAGCACACCCTGCAGATTGCCTCTGCCCTTGTTTTGTGACCGAGCCCAGAGCTGGGCTCTTCCTTGCTGTCACCCATCTGGGGGGCCCGGCACAGAGGGTCTGGAGGGTCCAGGGGGCTGGGGCTGGCTGCCCAGCCAGCTGGGCTGCTGCTCCTCTGCTGCCCATAAAGAGGGCTCCTCCTCCTCGTTTGGTGAACAAAAAGCTCACCCACCTCAGCACAGATGCCGTTTTTCTTGACACAAGTAGGCAGGAGTAGACAAGACACCTCTCGGCATGGTTAGGCTGGCTGAGGTGGGTTGAAGACATCAGAGTTCAGCCCTTGTGATGCCACCCTTACCCCTGAAGCAGAAAAATGCTTCAAACACAACAGCTTCTGTTTCAATTAGCAGCCCAGGGCTTCCTGTCCCCGTCCTGTCCTTGTCCCTGCCTCCACCCCTGGAGAGTGGCAGACCTTCCACACCCCTCTGAGGTTGCTGAGATCTGGTGGCTACCTGAGCCAGCCCAGAACTGCCTCTGCACAACATTCCTGGCAGTGCAGGACTGGGATGCCTTGGAGTGTGTTCCTGATGGGGCTGCCTTTAAATAGCAGAGAGCTGAATCAAAAAAATAACACAGTATTTGGCAATTTTCCTAGTGGGCACCCAGCCAGGCTGCTGTGCAGGCTGCTCTGATTGCCTCCATCAGTCTCCATATGGATTAGTGTTCTATGTCCTGACCTGCTGAGGATTAGCCTTGCACCAGAGAGATGTCACTGGGCCAACTCAGCAGTATCTTGCCAGATTTCAAGATGACATCAAGTTAAAGTGAATGTTTGCAAAGTCCCTTGCCACGTTTCGAAATGCTTTCTCCTCCTTCTTGGGCTGATCTGACATGCAAACAAGTCAGCTCTGCAGATTTGATGGTGCTGCAGCACCACGATACTCCTGCTTCAGTGGTGTGTTTCTCATGACTGTTTTGGTGTTATGTGCCTTAAAAATCCATGGGGAGAGCAGAAAGTGGGATGAACAGAGCTGGGGAAGCTCTGGATGCTTTCCCCATGCTCTCTGTAGCCATCTGGTAAATACAGGGGACTATTCAGAAAACGACTTTGCAAAGGGAGTTCATCAGCAGTGGCTTAGTGCTGCCTCCCGGGAGCCTCGTGGCTGAGCCCTCTTGGGTTGTTAATGGGGGCATCCTGTGGGAAGTGGTGCCAGCACCAAACCCATGGGCTCAGCTCTGGGCATGGCCCTGCTGGTGTCAGCCCAAGGACCAGAGGTTTCCCAGGAGAGCACTGGAGCTTCAGTGGTAACACGAGGCCCTGGGGGATTTGCTTTCACAGAAAGCTTGGCCTTATCCCCCAGCTCTTAGAATTCTGTTTATGCCCTGAAATACGAGGATCTCCCTCTTCCAAAAAGCATTTACTGGGTTTTATATCTCTCTTCCAAAAGGCATTTACTGGGTTTTCACATTTACAGTCATAAATCTTGCTCCAGATGTTTGCACAGATTACTTTGCTGTCTAGAAGAAAAAGTTATTCTGGGCAAAACAGGTCGTGTGGCAACAGGCTGTTAGATACTTTCTGCAGGCTGTTAGTTAGATAATTCCTCTGGATTGAGCAACTCTCCTCCATAATATTTTTAGTCGAGGCTGGAAAGTGCCTCTTCCCCTTGGCTCTGGCTGTGCACTGCGGTCCCAGGGGATGGGCGGGAGGGGCTTGGAGGTGGTGCAAGAATCTTCCTGCCTGGGGTGAGGTGGCACAGGATGGGTCTGAGGTGGCAGCACGGGTTTCCCAGAGAGGGGGGCAGTGGCACAGCAGCGTGTTCCTGGTGGGGGGTGCCACAGACTGCAAGGGCATCAGAGGAACAGAGGCTCTCCTGCGGTGCCTGTGCTGGTCTGGGAGAGCAGAGGATGCTGGGTGCCTTTGTGACTTTGCTCCTCACCTGTGTACGTGTCAAACAGGACCTGGGCTGCAGGGGAGGAGTAGGGACTTGTCAGGGTGACATCTGCAGTGTCCTTAGCTGGGCTGTGGTCTCTGGGCAGACACCTTGCCAGTGCTGGGAGATGGGCCTTGCAAAGAGTGGAGAACACCAGAGAGTGGATGTAAGATTTGGACCTGTATGTACAGGTTTGCAAAACAAGACCCTCTGCATTGCAGTGACACAATGCAGTCGTTGTTTGCAGGGAAGAAAAGGAGGTGAAAAAGTCTTTTCAGAGTTAAACTTCAGAGAAGGAAAACCGGTGCATTTGTCTTCAAATAAAGAACAGCTGATTGCAAATGTCTCCAGTTGTTCTGAAATGAAGAGAGTGAATTACCCTGAAATTAGAAACAGGTGTGTGAGAAGTTACTTCATACAGAAGGAACCCATCTATGTCCCAGCCACCCTTCCCAGTTCTCTGGGCTTTTACAGATAGTGGCTCCTTCCCTAGTGGTTAGGAGGGGAGTCTCTGCACCCCCAGGAATTAGGATGAAGTGGGCGAGGTGAGCAGCTCATCCTCACAGGGAGCAGCAGCAGCCCCACGACCTGCCATGGCTTTTTGTTTCCCTTTTTGTTACTAGTGAACAGCATAAAGCAAACAGGGTTCACTTGTGCAGGCTCAGGCAACAGGGAATGGGCTCCTGCCCCAAAGAGCCTCCATGAACCAGGAAGCTGCCCTGGCCACCCAGTAATGTCCCTGTACCATGACTGTGGGGAGAGCTGTTGTCTACAGCTCCCAGCCTGTGCTGCTCCCAGCCCATGCCAAGGCACGGCCATCCTGCAGACTCCTCAGTTTGTCACCTGGGCACTGGGGCAACCACCTGCTCCCGGCTGGTGGGAGAGGCTCCCTCTCCATGTCCCTTCCCAGCAGTGCCAGGGCTGGCAAATGCTGCTGAGGAGCTGATGGGAAACAGCACGGCTGCCTCACTGAGCAAAGCTTGGACCCCACTCCCAGATCTCATCCGTCCCCCTGCTCCCCTCCTGTGGGTGCCTGGGGGGACAGAGCAGGGTGGGGGAGAAGCCCATGTGTTGGGATGCAGCTCAAATCCCAGGGATGAGGAACGGGCTGGGGCTGGTGGGCACTGCTTCTGGCACAGGGGAATTCAGGGTGAGCTGTGCCTGACCCTGGAGTGTCCCTGGGGCTCAGGCAGCAGTGGTGCCACCTGCTCAGGCCCTTCACAGGAGAGGCCTGACCTTTGGGAAGATTGTGAGCTATTAGTGTTGCAAAAAATGCTGTAGTTTAGACTAGGGAGGTGAGACAGGGCTGGAACAGGAGCTGAGGGGAGAGCTGGGTGGGCCATGTGGGTGCTCCTGGGGCAGCACTGGTCACTGCAGCCATACAGCCTCGGCCAGGCACTGGGGTGGCCCCGTGGGCTGGGCTGGAGCTCAGCCTGTTGTACTGGTGGTGGCTCGATGAGCTCTGGAGCATTCCAGCAACAGGCACTGTTGTCATAGGGCAGGAGTCAAATCTCATTCCAGCTCTCCATACCTCAGAAAGTAGGGTGCCCACTCCTGATGGATGTGAGCACCCGAAGGGGTTGAGGGGAGGGAATGTGGCCTAGTGCTCAGTGCCCCCGGCACAAAAATAACTCCAGGTAACCCAATTTCAGCTGAAGTTGTTTATTACTCATCCTCCTCAATGAACTGCTGAAAGGGAAGATGGTGCTTGTGCTCCTTTGCATTTAGGTGTCATTGAGGTTTTCCTGGGTGTCCTTCACATGGGAAATGAGCTGGGGAGGGGGTGAGAAGAGCTGCTCTGAGGACAGAGTTAAAGGGTTTAGGAATGTCAGGTAGTGCAGGTAATGCCTGGGGTGTGGGGGCGGGTGATGATCCACTCTGAAGGGGATGGTTCTGAGAAGGTTGAATGAAGGGTGTTTGTGCAGCCCTTGGGTGCTGTGAGAGGACAGGCCGGTGCTGAGCCCCGTGGGGGCTTCGCTGTGCCCCTGCACAGGGGGTCTGTGGTGGCAGAGGTGGCTGGTCCTGCCGGGCGGGAGCGGAGGGACCCGGGAGGGCGCCGGGAAAGCCACAGGCAGTGCCAGTGAGGGCAGCAGTGGTGGAGGTGTGCAAGGGAGGTGGGGATTATTAAATCTGTGCACAAAATTGGTGCATCTCTTGTCAAAGCTCATACATTAAGGGGTTGAATTCAGCCTCGTCCTGTTAGCAGATTTCTGATGACTCCAAAGAGCTATTCCCATAGGAATGCAAAAAGCAAACCCTTGCAGGATGATAATAAAGGCCACAGGCTGGTTTCCCATGTGGATTGCCCATGGGTCTGTGAGCTGCACCTGTCTTTTATGGGCTGAGCCTGGTTTAGTTTGAAATGATCTGAAGAACATCAGATAAGTCCTGATCCAGTAAATGTGTTTATACTTGACAAGGAAACAAGTGATGAGTCAGGAAGAACAGTTCATTTATGGCTTGTCTAGCAAATGGGGCAGTAAACAAAAAAGCTGTGGTCTGGATCTGCATGGGCTGCTCTCTGAGTGAGAAGAGGGTGAGTCTGAGGTGCAGGTTAGTCTGACAATAAGTAACTTCCGAATTTTCTGCAAGCCCCCAAAACCCGTGGCTGTGCAAGGTCCCCCTTGCAGGGAGTCGCTGGTTCCAGTTCCCTCCTGGCTGGCTGTGGGTGCAGCCCAGGGGATGGGGTGGCATCAGACTCACCTGTAGAGCAGCAGCTCCCCAACCCCCATGTCTGTAACCTGCAGCCAACAGACCCAACTGGTATTGATGGGTGGCACAAAAAGTAATTCAGCCACAAAAGGGCTTGTACAGAGTTGTAGTTGTACAGTGAGTCTGGGAACTGTGTTCGGCCAACTGTAGTTGAGTGTCAGGGCAGGAGATCAAACTGTGGGGTTTGGTGTTCTGGGAGAAACCCACCAAAAGCCAGGCAACAGATAGATGGATGACATTTAAAAAATGAGAACCCAACTCTCCATATTTCAGTGCTTTTTAATTGCTCATTATTGTTTGCCTCTGCTGCGCTGCACTGTGCAGAGTGCCTGGGTTTTCAGTCTTCGAGGACTTTTCTCCTTGGAGATCTTGGTCTAAAAGCCTCTGCTGTGTGTGGGCGAAGGGCAGCAGTGCAGGGCAGTGGTGCTGGAGTGTGGTGGAACAGCAGTGACTCAGCTGCATTTTGGGGAGCCAGCGCTCATGCAACGTCTGGCCATGAACCACTCCTGCAGCACCAAAGGCAGAACTGTACTGTTTTCCCAAAAGATACCAACTTCCAACATAAGTTTTTTCTATAGAGTGCACTGGGAAACCAGCACTGATGTGGTCTCCTTCTCCTCCTCCTCTTCCCATCCCTCTCCCTCTCTTCTCCTCATGCCACTGCCCCTGGTGATACCGAAAAAGCCCGAGCCCATTTCTCCCACCAGTACCCAGCACCCATGTTCCGTTTCTCTGCTGTTTTAGGCAAACAGAAGTACCTGTGTGCCAGCCGGAACGACTGCACCATCGACAAGTTCCGACGGAAAAACTGCCCCTCCTGCCGCCTGCGGAAGTGCTACGAGGCCGGGATGACGCTCGGAGGTATGGTCAGGGTCCCCTCCCGGGCCCCTGCACATCTCTTAGTGTGTGAGCAGTCAGTAAATGGCTGCAAAATGAGGCTGATGGAGCACGATGAGCTTCAGGAAGCATTTGCAGGGTTCTAACACCAGAACTGTGAATTTCACTAATTTCTGTTTGCATTTCAGAAAGCATTCTTTTCTCTGATTTCTAATGTTGTTAATCTGAAAAAATGTAAACAGCCAAGTGAGTGAGTTGGTTCTCACTCCTGGAGCCTCAGAGCAGAGCACTCCCCTCTTTTGACGGGATTTTTCCCAGCAGAAAGGGGCAATTTCTTGGTGAAATTACAGCCCCGGTGCTTTCCTTCACTGGATGGAAGCCATGCCTGTGTCCCTGGTGAAGGTCTTTCTTGCAGTTTTGTCTCTGTTCCCAAACCTGTAGCCCTACCAAAACCTGACAGAGTGGCCATATCCAAAATCTGAGGTTTTCTGTGCAAAATCTGGAAACTACAGTGGGTGGCTCCACATTGAGCTGATTTGATGAAACCCTTCCCTGGGCCCTGGCACAGGCTGCCCAGAGAAGCTGTGGCTGCCCCAGCCCTGGAAGTGTCCAAGGCCAGGTTGGACGGGGCTTGGAGCAACCTGGGCTAGTGGAAGGTGTCCCTGCCCATGGCAGGGGGTGGGAATGAGATGAACTTTAAGGTCCTTTCCACCCAAACCATCCTGTGATTCCGTGATGTAGAGTGAGGAAGAAAATACCCTGGAAAAGGGGACTGAAGGACCTGCCCCCTGCTGGGAAGCCCTGGATTGAGGGGGTTATGGGGGAGGAACTCCAGCACAGCTTGGGTGGGCAGTGGGGAGCCCAGGCTGCTCAGATGTGCCAGTGTTTTGGGTTAAATCCTGACCCCGTTGCTGGGATGGGATGAGTCTCCGGGGGCTGCTGGGCTGCCACAACGCTGTCTTGAAGGACTTGTTACTGAAGTGGTTCTGATTTGTGGCTCACCAACGAGCAGAGGGTTTAGTTTTGTTTCTTCCCAATGGTCCCAAAAGGTAATGCAGTCCTAATCCCCAGTTTTTAGCTTATTTTTAAGTGCTTTTTCCTGGTGAAGTTTCCTTAAGTAGTAGAAGACATACATCAGTGTAACCTTCTTCTGCAGGACACACTGACAAAATTAATGCTAATATGAACACACACCCCCTTCTTTTTCCTTCAGCTCTTTGGGTCACCCTGACCTGTTCTGCCTGGTCTGTTTTACATTTGGTTTGGATGCCGGTATAAAGGCAATTGTTACAAACAGTCAGGCTTGTGATTGCCCACAGTAGCGTCTCCCACGGTGGAGGCAGAGCATTTGAAATTGCTCCCAGGCTCCAAGCAGTTGTTTTTAACCGCTGGTTAATTACCGTCGCTGTTGGGGTACAGCCTGGCAGCCCTGCGGCTCTCGCGGCGGGGGAGGAGGAGGAGGAGGTGACACACCGAATGCCTTCTGCCGGCTCTGCTCTGGCACAGGATGACAACATCTTGAAGCACTTCATTATTACTTGAGATCACTGTGACCTGCAAGCTGGAATCCATTAAACAGGATCTTCTCTCCTGAATGACAGTGTGGAGAGGGAAAAGACGAAAAAAACCAAACCACCAAAAGAAAAAAAAAAGAAAAAAAACCCCAGTGATAATGCAATTTCTGTGTGCTTGGTCCTGCTGGTGAGCTGGCTGTGCCTACCGACCCACCACCCTGTGCCTGCTGCCAGGGCAGGTGCTGCAGGGATCCTGCCAGCCCCCATGTGAGGTGCCGGGGGCTGTTCCCATGGGATGCCCCAAGCGCCTGTGCCTGCAGCCAGAGCTGGCAGCTGCCCGTGCTGTAGGACCCACAGGGCACCTCCAGCCTGGCCACTGTGCCCTGTGGGTCCTGGCTTGGGACAAAATCTCCCAAACACGTGAAATTCCATTAATTTTGTTGGTGGTAGGGCTGGAAATCTCCTGTGGTAACAGCCGAAAGCTTGTGAAAGCCCAGGCTTGAGGCACAGTTGTGTTTAGCCCTAATTCAGGTCCAGCTGCTGGGGGCAGAGCAGGGCTCCCGTCTCACACACACACGGTGGGTGTTGATGTGAGCCATTCCAGCCAGGGGGAATCTGACACGAGTTTTGCAGAGCCGTTGCAGTAGTTAATTATGATCAGTGTTGTGTTGAATGTACCTTTTTTTCATCATCTGCCCTTCATTTCCAGCAACTGGATCTTTATTACAACCTTGTTTGCTCAGTTGAAAAACTGAGTTTTATTGAATTTCTCTCCCTGCAGTGGATATTTGTTGGCTGTGACTCAATAACCCTTTTGCCTTCTGCACAGCCACCTGGGTGACATTCCTTACCTCCTTGCTCCAAGGTGTGTTGTCAAATCTTCAGTGTTCTCATGGCTCCTGCAGTTTGCCAACATCTGTCAGCACTTATCTGCAGACCTCGGTCTGTCTGTTCAGTGATCAGTCCTTTGTGTTCATCCCTGTTTTCCCATCCATGCATTGCTATACAGACTGGTTGAGGAAAAATGGTTGATTCTGGTTTGGGGATGAATGTAGACATTTACTAGCAGAGAGCTGTAAGCCACCCTGGTAAGAAACAAACCTGTCTGATGTTCAACACTTATACTTGCCTTTGAGATGTGTCACTGGGGGGTTGCAATCATTCAGCAATACTGTCTGATTTTATATCCTTTGAGTTCTTTTCATTCACATGGGCCTGATTGACTCAGATCTCTTAAAGGTGTCTGCTGCACCAACAATGTTGTAATTATCAACTAAAATTATTGTGTCAGATAAGACTGATAGCTTGACAGGTTCAGGTTTTGACAAGCCACATGTTGAAGTTCATAAAAATTTCAAAGAATAGGATATAAGTCAAGTCCCGTTCAGCTCTTCTGTGTCCTGCCTGCAGCTGAGCTCAGCATGTGCTGCCAGGGGCAGGATGTCTCCATTATTGTCAGTACACAAGCAGCTTCTTCCAAGTCCCCAGAACTTGCTTGAGTCCTGTCATTCACAAAAAATTGGTTCTGGAGCCCAGAGTGCTCCTCCCTCAAGGCTTCAGAAGTGCCTGCCAGGAGGGCAGTTGTTCGAACTGTGCTCCCCGGGGGTTCTTGCACTGGTGAGTATCTTATTGTGACACCATGTAATTGTGTCCTTTAAGCTTTTTTCCAAATCCATACGGTAGTTGCCCGGTGACCCCCAAGCCAGCTCGCATTGGTGCTGCAGGGGGTTTGGGGCGATGCTGTGCTGCAGCTGCACCTTGAGGCTCCTGGGTGCTGCTGTCCCCCGTCCCTGGTGGCAGCTGAGCAGGAACACCCCCTGTTACAGGGTTCCTCCCACCTTGGCTTGAAGAAATGCAGTGTAGAGTTCTACCCAGCTTAGCTCATCCTAGGAAAAAAACATTACAGATGTCTTCAATTCCTATTTTTCTATTTCTGTTTTTGTTTCCAGTAGCTGCTGAGTGGGAGCTACCACCACAAAGAGGTTTGGCACAGGTGCTGAGTATAAACCAGTCTTTTCCTCTGAAACTTTTTTTCACCAGGTAGCTCATTTCAGTGAGCTGTGGGATAGCTGCTCCTGGAATGCCCAAACCCCAATAGCACAGTTATCACACCCTAGCACAGAGGAGTCTGGTTTGTGGCTGCAATCTCAGAGCCAGCACAGTTGGTCCTTGCTCTCTTCTTACTTCACTCAGGATTTTTTAACACTAGATAATTAAATCTTAAGGAAAACCTCCACATTTAAACCAAACCATATGTATATCTTATACATGTGGGTTTGGCTCCATTCACACCCAGGACCTGGGGCACTGGTTGTTTCTAAACCCCAAAGGGTTGTCCAGCCCTGGCACAGCTGCCCAGCGCAGCAGTGGCGTCCTGGGGGGATTTAACAGCCCTGTGGATGTGGCACTTGGGGACATGGGTTACTGGTGGCCTGGGCAGTGCTGTGACTTCAGGAGGGGTGGGAGACAGGGCCCTGCCACCCGAGCGGGCGATGGCCAGAGGCCGTCACGCTGCCCTGTTTTCCTCTTGCACTCCTTTATTTTTGTTACTCATGTCTCCTCCCTTTTTACAGAGCAGCCTGTCTTCATTGTCCATACACCAGATCATCTAGAGTACAGTGCTTAGAGATCAATGTTTGCAGTTGATTTACAGGGCTGCACTTTGACTTGACATTTTTGTCTCGCTGCTTATTTTTCTAATTACAGCTGAAAGGAAATTCAAGATAAGTATCATGTAATGAAGGAGCCAAACCCCCCCGAGGACAACTGGTTTAATGTCGTATTCCCTGCTTGAAGGAAGCCATGGGCTTTTGTTCTCTAATTCATGAGGGTTTGGAGTTGGTGAGGGGTGGCAGTAGCAGCCCACCTGTGCCAAGCACTGTCACACAGGTATCAGTGAGGGGAACACAAACTCTCCAAGGGCTCTGGCATTGCCTCTGGAGCACTGGTGTGCCTTGCAGGCAGACCAGCAGCTGTGGTTAAGAGCCAGCTGTGTGGGAGGAACACTTTGTCATGGTGCCATGGGCACAGTCGCTGATGGGGCTCATGAAGCAGAGTGATGCCACCTCTGCCCAGGTCTGCTCCCCATGGTTTAAGGCCCTAGAATTGCCTACTGGCTTCTGAAATGTGTTTTCCATAATATATGTGTGATATCTGGGAGAGCCTGGATGTGGGGGAGCAGGTGTTGCAAAGAGAAGGCTTTTATCTCAGTTGCATCCCACTTTCACTTTGGCCTGGAATGGAACAATCCCACTTGGGTATCCAAGTGCAATCTCTTTTTTCCCTAGAACATGATCATGTGCTGAGTTTATCTTCTTGTGAGCAGTTGAGTCAGTCACCTCTTCTCACTTTTCCCTGGATGATCTCTGTGTTTATGTGGGAGTTGGAGACCAGTCATGGCTGAGAATGTAGATGATGCTGGTTCTTTTCCATGTTACATTAACAAGGAAATGGATTTTGTCGTGCAGCGTGTGGTCCCCTTGTCCTTAGGTGAGGGCTGCAATGCCGGGGCACTCCTTGGGCAACGTCCACTAAGGGAGGAGCGGCTGCCGGTCATCACTTTTCCTTTCCTCGTAACTATAAGTGGAGCCAAGAAGCCTCAACCTTTTTTTTTCTTTTAATTTTTAAATCTCACACTAAACCATGTACTTCCCACAGCCCGCAAGCTGAAGAAACTGGGTAACCTGAAGACACAGGATGAGGTGGAGGCAGGCAGCTCATCCAGCCCCACGGAGGAGCAAGCTCCCAAGCTGGTGATGACACGCATCGATGGCTACGAGTGCCAGCCCATCTTCCTCAACGTCCTGGAGGCCATCGAGCCCGGCGTGGTGTGTGCTGGCCACGACAACAGCCAGCCAGACTCCTTCTCCAACCTGCTGACCAGCCTGAACGAGCTTGGGGAGCGGCAGCTGGTCTACGTGGTCAAATGGGCGAAGGCCCTGCCAGGTGAGGAGGAAAACAAACAAATCCTCTCCTTTTCCAGTTCCAAAGCCCCCATCTGCATTGGCAGGGTGCAAAGGGAGTGGTCTGCAGCCCGTGTGCCACTGTCACACAGCTCCTGGGGGAGTGCTCCGTGGGCACTGTGAGTGTCCCCTCCCCAGGCAGCAGTCACAGCACTGGGGGTTGTCTGGGGGGCTGGTGACGGGAGGGGGGGCTGGGGGTGATGGAGGATATCAGAACTTGTGCTTTGCCTCGCGACAGCCCCCGGCCCGGGCTACCAGATGGGCACGGGGCACTTGCCCCCGGGGGGCTGCTGCTGCTGCTCAGAGTCCCGCTGTCCTCCCCCTCTCCCAGCTCCAGGCCGTGTCCTCCAGCCCTGCAGAATTCCCCTCTAAACAAGTATTAGCCCTGTCCCATGACCCACCTGAAGTGGTGAAAAGGGTAAATTCCACCAGCTAATTAATTGGAATACGGCAGAAGAGCAATGCAGGATCCCAAAGGGCTCTTTCCTGGCAGTCATTTGGGTTGCCTGTGTGATGGCCCGGTGGGATATATTTACGATTCCTTTGGAGTGGTGCTACAGGCTGGGAAGTTTCTAGATGCCAGTCAGCAGGTGCAGTAAATGGAGCATCCCAATGACAGATGGGTTCACTGAGCCAGGTGACTGTGCAGGGTCACTGGGTGGTGACACACTGCCTGTTCTGTGTTGTAATCCTGCAACCGAGTGAGTGGGATTGCAGAGGGCTGAGCTCACTCTGGGCACAGCAGGATCCAGTTCACCTCTGAGCATCTCTGAGACTGGGATGTGGGGCTGGTTCCTAATGCCTTCCCCATCCCAGTCTCACTCTCCAGGGAACACTGCAGAAAAGAGGGACCCCACTCCTCCCCACCCTGTGCAGGGTGACACAGCCAAAGGAGGAGACCGAGACCCAGTAAGTTTACCACTCTGTGTCAGACCCTGGTGATGAACTGTGGTCAGGTGTCTGATGTTCCCAGGAGTTTAGCAGCACCCTGGACTGGTGATGTTGGTCTGAATACCTTTAAATGCAGAGTAGCCCATTCTGTTTCTGATATTCTTAAGTCACTTGGCTTGTAAAACCAGGGACAAATCGTGCTTTCTCTTTGGCTTATGTATGCCAGCCATCAAGATCAGACACAGAGACACCACCAAAGCCACCCTGGGGCTGAGGCCCTGCAGTAGTGCTGATGGAAAGGAAGAGTGCTTTGGAAAACATTTTCCATCTTAACCACCCCATTAAGAAAGGGTTTTGCTCTCCTGAACTGCACCTGATGCTGACCCCTTGGTGTGTGGCTGTGCCAGCTGCTGCCCCACTGACCCCCAGGGCCAGCACCCACTGTGCCAGGGCAGCATCTGGGCAAGATTCATTCCCCTGCTGTTTGGCTTTGAGAGCTCCCCAAGCCACAGAGAGCCTTGCCTTAATGGACTGTAATTATACACAGGAGATGTTAAATTGCTTTAATATTTGATTCAAAAAATGTATGATTGTCTTTAAACTCAATTATATTTGCCTATTTACAAGTGTCTGGAAAAAAGCAGTGTTGGAGGTGGTGTAAACATGCCAGGGATTTAACTCTGAACTGCCATCTGGGCATAGGAAATTTGAATTTAGTTGCTATTTTTGTCTCTCTTGCAATGCAGCCGAGGTTTCCGTGCTCATTCCCACAGTCATTAGATCCATGCAGTGTGTATTGGACAGAAACCAGAGTGTCTGTGGCCATGGGGTGAGGCCTCAGGGTTACCTGCTGGCTCTGAGCATCACTTTAAAATCCAGCTACTTAAATTTGGTGAAGTCCTAATGGGACTTTGTCCCCTCCTTGTGTCCAAAGTCCCCTTTCTCCCCTTCCAGGGGCAGGTCTGTGCTTGGCTGTCCCTGATTCCCAGTCAGAGTCAGAGCCCTGGGCTGCCGGCCCTGCAGCTGTGTCACCGCTGGCGTGTGCATGTCCCGGGACGTGCTGAGCTTGGGCTGAGAACTGACCACCTTGTCCCAGAGGAGCACTGCAGGAGAGTGGAGTCTGTGTGGAAACAGTCCTGGGAACTGCAGGAACACAACATTAATTCGTAACATCCCTCCCTCATTGTTTATTAGGATTTCGCAACCTGCATGTGGACGACCAGATGTCAATAATCCAGTACTCTTGGATGGGCCTCATGGTGTTTGCTATGGGGTGGAGATCCTTCACCAACGTCAATTCCAGAATGCTTTACTTTGCTCCAGACCTGGTCTTCAATGAGTAAGTGTGAAACAACACCAGCCTAAGCCAGGCTTTGGGTCAGACCAGGTGACAAACTGAGCATCTCGTGCTCCGACCTGCCCAGCCCAGTGTGGCGGGTCCCGTTCCCTACTCCAGCCACCCATGGTGACCTCCAGCAGTGGGGAGGGCACTGTGATGCCTCTCCTGGTCCTTTGCCCCGCTCCCCCAGCCTTGTCATGGGCTGACTCCCACCAGGGCAGCCGGAGCTGCTGTGGGATGAAAAGCTGCTCCTTATGGACCTGTCTTTCTGCTAAAGGGTTTGAGTTCCAGTTTCCAGCTCTGTTGGGCAGCTGGAGAGAACAGAAACAGAGATAATGTGTATTATAAGGTCCTGCTGGGCTCTTCCTGATGTACCATCAGCTTAGAGCTGGGGAGGGTTTGCTGGCACTGAGGTATAAGAGCCTGAACCTAATAACTAAGCACAGCGCAAGGCAAACCCACACCTCCCTGGGAGTTCCAGATTGGTCTTGGATCCCTCACGGATAGACATGTTTGGGGAATCATTGCAGTCGCTCCTCAGATGAACCCTGCAAGTCCCCAGTTCCATCTATTTCCAAAGAGGGTTGGTTGCACACAGGCATTTTGGAGAATGTTCCTGTCCTGCCTGCGGCATTGCTGGGACAGAGCTTGGGCCCTTGGCAGCGGGGATGTGCCAGGCGAGGGGGTTGCTGGGTTGAGGAGCGTGTCCTCCCCCCTCACACAGCTGCGCTTTGGTCTCGGTGCCATCCGTGCCCATCTTGCCCTGCCAGGTACCGCATGCACAAATCCAGGATGTACAGCCAGTGTGTCAGGATGAGGCACCTCTCCCAGGAGTTCGGGTGGCTTCAGATCACGCCCCAGGAGTTCCTCTGTATGAAGGCTCTCCTTTTCTTCAGTGTTAGTAAGTACCCACACCCCTTCCTCCACAGAACTCCAGTACCTGCCACTGCATCGCCCTTGAGGTGTCTGGTGCTTTCCCTGTGCCTGGACTCTCACCTCCCAGGGGGAGCTGGGAAGTTCCCTGCTTCAGCCTTCCTCCTGCTCTCCTGTTCCCCACTCTCTGGGCTCCTCTCACTGTTTCCTTCCCATCCCACCCAGTTCCAGTGGATGGCCTGAAGAACCAGAAGCTCTTCGATGAGCTCCGCATGAATTACATTAAGGAACTTGACCGTATCATCGCCTGCAAGAGGAAGAACCCCACCTCCTGCTCCCGGCGGTTTTACCAGCTCACCAAGGTCCTGGACTCCGTGCACCCGGTGAGAGAGGACAGGGAAATGTCCATCTATACACGTAAGAAACAATATAAGAAAGAAACTTTACAGTGAGAATGATCATTCCCTGGAACAACCTCTCCAGGGTCAGGGCAGCCCTATCATGGGGAGAGTTCAGATGCAGTTGGAGAGGGTGCTGGATAGTCTCATCCAGGCTCCCTTTCCCAGGCAAGGTAGAACCTCTGCTCCATATCTTTCCAGTGAAAACGCTACACAGGGACTCATTTAACCCCCTCTCTTCCTTCCCCAGATTGCCAAGGACCTGCACCAGTTTACATTTGACCTGTTAATCAAGGCACACATGGTGAGCGTGGACTACCCGGAAATGATGGCTGAGATCATCTCTGTGCAGGTTCCCAAGATCCTGTCTGGAAAAGTCAAGCCTATCTACTTCCATGCACAGTGATCTTCCATAGGGACCCCCGAGCTGCCTCCCCCATTCCAGCCATCTCCTGCCTGTTATTTCTGCACTACTGTCCTGCAGTGCCTTGGGGAATCCCTCCGCAGTGGTGGCCGAGGGGACAGGCAGTGACAGACCTGCTGGGATTCCTGAGATTTCTGTTTTCCTGAGGTACCTCTGAACTGAACCCCCGGCCTCGGCCTCAGCCCAGCTCTGGCTGCTTGTGGTGATGGACAGGGACTGGCACGGAGCAGCAGGACCCCGCCTACTCTCGTCTCTGTGTCACCGTGACTCCAGTGGCCCAGGGCCACAGAAGAGTGGGAGAAGTGCCAGTAGTTGGTGGGTTTGGGGTGTTTTCTATACGCAGAACATGACATGAAGCAGGTTGCAGCTCCGCGTTTGGCTGTAGGTGATGTTACCGGCCTCCTTTGGGATGTTTTGTTTGCATTATGGTGCTGGGAAGCAGATGAGTTCAAACATTGCAGCAGAGAAGCAGAGCAGAGCTGGGGGATGAGGTGAATTTGCGGCCGAGGAGTTCCCAGGCCCCGGGGCCGCCGTGGGATGTGTCTGGCCAGCCTGGCCCCGGGACCCGCCTGCGCCGCCGGGACACGGGCGATGGAGCGGATGGGCTGCAGCCAAAGGCTGCCGAGGAAGATGACCTTGGAAACCCCCCAATGGCAGCTGGCTCCTGTTTTCCACCTAGGATGTTTGTGCTACAGCCTGTCTGGGTCTCAGTCTGTCCCGCAGGCCCCCCGGTGCTCGGCAGTCAACATTCCCATCCTTGCCAGCTGCTGCTCCCTCACAAAGCCAAACCCACCTCCAGAAGTGCCTGATGCCCTCGGAGCTCCCACCTGCCTGGCCACCCTGGGCCCCTGCAGCCCCTGCCCAGCCCCATGCCCGTTCTGCTGCTGCCGCTCTCCGCAGACCCTGGATTCCTGCTGCGCTCCTTCCCTTCGTTTGTCCCAGCTCTTGTTTGCAATGCTATGGAGCCAAGAGGGGGCCAGGATCTGCGGGGCCTGTGGAGCCACGGGACTCCTCCGTGAATCCCATCTGTGGGGAAGCAGCTGTGGGAACTGGCCGGTGCCACCACGGTGCTTTGGGGGGCTGGAAAGGAAGAACCAACCCTCATGTACTCGCTGTCCCACGTACATGGTGCCACACACACTGTCACACACACACTGTCACACACACTGTCACACACACACTGTCACACACACACACTGTCACACACACACTGTCACACACACACTGTCACACACACTGTCACACACACACTGTCACACACACTGTCACACACACTGTCACACACACACTGTCACACACACACTGTCACACACACTGTCACACACACTGTCACACACACACTGTCACACACACTCACACACACTGTCACACACACACTGTCACACACACACGTCACACACACTGTCACACACACACTGTCACACACACTCACACACACTGTCACACACACACTGTCACACACACACAAAAATGTGTTTTTTGCACACACACTGTCCCACACACACACTGTCACACACACACTGTCACACACACACACTGTCACACACACACACTGTCACACACACTGTCACACACTGTCACACACACACTGTCACACACACACAGTCACACACACACTGTCACACACACTGTCACACACTGTCACACACACACTGTCACACACACACTGTCACACACACACACTGTCACACACACACACTGTCACACACACTGTCACACACTGTCACACACACACTGTCACACACACACAGTCACACACACACTGTCACACACACTGTCACACACACTGTCACACACACTGTCACACACACACTGTCACACACACACTGTCACACACACACTGTCACACACACTGTCACACACACACACTGTCACACACACTGTCACACACAGTCACACACACACTGTCACACACACACTGTCACACACACTGTCACACACACTGTCACACACACACTGTCTCACACACACTGTCACACACACACTGTCACACACACACTGTCACACACACACTGTCACACACACACTGTCACACACACTGTCACACACACTGTCACACACACTGTCACACACACACCGGTCTCACCACCTGTCCACCACAAAACACGTCACACACCACTGGTCACCACTGTTCACACACACTGTCACACACAACCTGTCCACACGCACACGTCCCACACACACACGTCACACACACACACTGTCACACACACAAAACGTGTCACAATCACACACTTGTCCCACACACACACGGTACACACAACACTGTCACACACAGTCCACACAAACCTGTCACACACCACTGGTTCCACACACTGTCACACACACTGTCACACACACACTGTCACACACACACTGTCACACACTGTCACACACACTGTCACACACACACTGTCACACACACACTGTCACACACTGTCACACACACTGTCACACACACACTGTCACACACTGTCACACACACTGTCACACACACTGTCACACACACTGTCACACACACACTGTCACACAGACACACATGCAAACCCCCCACCCCCACCTCACATGCACCCCTGTCCCCAGCACACACACAGTGGCCACACCAGCATTCCCTGCAGTATTCCAGCTCCCCCTTCCTGCACACCCCAAGCCCACCAAACCCCCTGCTCAGCCCTGGCCAGGGCTGTCAGTGACCAGGGCACATACAGGCTCGTGCCAGGGTCACACATCCCACGTGGGCTGTGACACAGTCTGGTGCTACCAACACAGACATCTGCAAGGGCTCCTCGTGCCAGCACAGGCAAACAGCAAACCATGAGCCCACCCAGGGCACTGAGCCCCCCAGAGCCCTGTGCCCACCCAGATCCCTGTGCTCACCAGGAGCCCTGAGCCCACTCATAGCCCTGATCCCCCCATGTCCCTGTGCCCACCTGGAGCCCTGTGCCCAGCTCTCCAGGCAATGTCCTTGTGGTGCAGCTGCTCCTTTGCAAACTCACAGTAAAACAAACAATTTTCCTGATACTTCCCAACCTTTTGATGGGATTTTCATTAAGGGAAGGAATAGGGGAAAAAACCCTATTGAAGGGAAGGATTTTTCTTCAAGTGTTTGCAATGGATTTCCTTCCTCTGCTAGATACAGCTCTGATCCCACTTGTCCTGCTGAAACCCCTCATGTAGGTGGCAACAGAATCCATGGATGAATGTCCTGGCTGGCAGCCAGCAAGATGCTGCTCTTGGAGGCTTCCCCAGGCCAGAGGGCTGCCAGCCCAGTGCTTGTGTGAGCTATGGATATGTGCAAATGAAACGGTAAAAAAATCCTGCTCGTGCATCCCTGTCTTCTGGAACATTCCCAGGCCCTCAGTGAGCAGATGGGTGGTGATGCCCGATCCCTGTCATCAGCTCAGGATGGCTCTGAGCAGTTGGAGCAGCTTCTTGGGAGAGCTTTGTGCTTAGCACAGGCTCATGTCAGTGAAGGTTCTGTTGGTTAATGAGTGTGGAGGTGTCCTGCTGGGAGACCGGGAAGAACCTGACAGGGATTTGCCCATCCTGCTTGGCTGGTGGAAGCACCATGCGAATGAAAAGTGGTGGTGGGGAATGGGAGGATGATACTGCCCCTGTGTCACCTGCCCCCGTTGTGTCACCTTCCCTCATGTCACCTGCCCCAGGTGTGTCACCTTCCCTCATGTCACCTGCCCCACATGTGTCACCTGCCCTCATGTGTCACCTGCCCCAGGTGTGTCACCTGCCCCAGGTGTGTCACCTGCCCCATGTGTGTCACCTGCCCTCATGTGTCACCTGCCCTCATGTGTCACCTGCCCCAGGTGTGTCACCTGCCCCAGGTGTGTCACCTGCCCCATGTATGTCACCACGTGTGTGCAGCTGCTCTGGCCGGCGGGTGCTGAGCAGGGCAGCAGGTCATGGGCAGCACCCCCAGCCCAGGGCAGGGGGGCAGGTGGGGGCACTGGGGTCATGTTCTTTCTCTCTTCAGCACCACAATTTCAACTTTTTCATTCAGAAGTTGGGTTCTTGTAGTTACCAGGAGATGTGGGAGCCAGGACCCGCAGCACCTCCCCCACCTGGACCAGCTGGGGGAATGAACACTGTTTCCACCTGGATTTTCTTGGGCTGCTGCAGGAACTGGAGAAGAAAAGACCTAAGAAATACCAAAGTGCAGCTCCTGCAATGAATCTTTGTGCTTTGTGTTTTCTTCTGCATTTTCTTGTCCACTTTTGCTTTAATAAAGCAAAGAGAATTTCACTGTGTTCACAGTCCCACAGAAGCTGTCCCTGAGGCTCCTCTCAAGGTGGCCAAGCCCTGGAGCAGGGACCCCCTTGGTGTTGCAGCAGGGAGCCAACCACATCTACGTTCCCCTGCAGACTCTCTGGCTCTGCTTTGGCTCATCTCAGAGGTGTGGGGGCTTTTGGGCCGGCTCAGTCTGAGTCAGAGCTCAGACCATCAGCTCCTGCCCAAGGCAGCAGATGGAGGACAAGGGACACACACTTGGCATCTCCCTGAGAGCAGTGTTGTACATGGCTGGGCCCAATTCCATGACAGAGGGTGCAGAATAAGGGATGCTGCCTTTAGTGAAGGCAGGAGAGACTCTTCCTCAGTCCTGTGTCATGCCAGAAGGTGGGATCAGGTGGTGCAATGGCATGTGGCATTCCCAAGGCAAACCTGTGCCCTCCTGAGCCTGTCAGGTTCCTGCCAGCACCCCCTGCCTCAGCAGGGAGCTCGGCTCAGCAGGAGCGAGAGCTGGGGCAGTGACTCTCCACTCAGAGAGGCCATGGATGAGTGGAGAACTGGCAGCATCTATGTGCTGTTGCCATAATGTTCAAGAGGCTCTTTGTGCTCAGCTCAGGGAACAGGGCCCTCAGTCACAGCCATCGGGCTCAGCCAGGGAGGCAAATCCCTCAGGACCACTCACTGCTCCGAGCCCTGCGGGGCGGGGGGGCTGTCACCGTGCTCTGTAGGGATGCTGAGGGGTACCCCAGGGGTCACCAGCCCCCCGGGCAGTCCGAGAGCTGCTGCCCTCACAATCCTCGTGGGGTCCCTCCCCTTGCTGAGCTCTCACCTTGGATGTTTCAGTAATATATGCTAAAGATATCTGTATCTATGTAAAATAAAGGTGTGGCCCATTTTCTGTCACTAAAGATATTTATTTAGTGTGATGCTCCGAGAGAGCACATTGACGCACTGAATGCTCTTCAAGAAATGAGTCAGAATGTACCAATTTAGTAGAAACTTCTAATTTAATTATTTTTCTGGCTGAGTGCTGCCCAGTTTGCAAAGGTCCTCCCTTTCATGGCATGCACAGAGCACATACTGGAATAGGCTGCTGTCGGTATTGGCTCCTCCAGGTTTCCTGTGGCTGCTTGTGGTTAGGCAGGGACGGTGTTTGCTCTTGGGGAACGATGGAATGTCCTTTGTTTCTGTCCTCTTTGACTGCACAAAGTGTCCTCGCATGTTCAGGCAGAATCCTGGGATTACAGAGAGGTGTCTGTGCTCTACCTGTCTCCAGACCTGGAGCAGGCAAGGGTGCTCCAGCCCCTCCGGGTGGGTTGAAGCCTCCCCGTGCCCAGCGGTGCCTGCTCGCCCCCAGCTCATTCCCTGGGGCAGCAGAGGGACCCTGTGCTTGTGACTCACAGAGAAAATCTCTGCACCCACATAAACCCTCAGCAAGTGGATAAAAGCTGCTCTCTGTGCTGGATGTTTGGTGTTCTGTGGCAATTTTATGCTGTTTCTCTTTGTTAACATGTCTCTGTAATAATAAGAGTTCTCAATTTGATATATTTTATTTTCTTTGTATTAAGCCAAAAAGCTCCTTGCTGGTGCCTTTTTGCCTGGGGGGCCCTCCCAGCCCACAACTGTGTTCCTGGGAGGAACAAAGGGCAGTGTCTCCAACTGTTCCTTCCACCAGAGCTGAGGGAAAGTGGGAAGCCAATGCCTCAGAATTGGCAGAATGAAAAGAACCAGAGGCCTTGGAATGGCAGAGACTTTGGGGTACGTGGCCAGTTCTTTCCCGGGGCGTGGCTCCAAGGTGAGGGCTGAGCACGACACTGGGACACCTTGGCCCTGTCTCAGTGGGACTGGGGCTCTCGAGGCCCCGTGATGTGGGCACAGCACATGCAGCCTGGGCCCCACTTGGAATCACAGGGCTTTGCCCAGATTATTGCACCTGAGGGCAAATCCTCTAGAAAAGGACGAAAGGATGTTCTTAGATTGCTGCTACAGCTC